TACGAGTAGATACTAGTCAGATCCAGGTGAGTCACATTGGATCGCCGTCAAGAACATCCTGAAGTACTTGAGAAGTACTAAGGATGTGTTCTTGGTATACGGTGGGTCGGAAGACGAGCTCGCTGTAAAGGGTTACACCGATGCTAGTTTCCAGACAGATCCGGATGACTACAGATCGCAGTCTGGCTATGTTTTCTGCTTGAACGGAGGCGATGTTAGCTGGAAGAGTTCCAAGCAAGTGACTGTTGCAGATTCTACTACAGAAGCTGAGTATATTGCAGCGTCGGACGCGGCAAAGGAAGCTGTTTGGATCAGGAAGTTTGTTGGCGACTTGGTGTCATTCCTAGTGCTGATAGCCCCATTGCTCTGTATTGTGACAACAATGGAGCGATCGTACAAGCGAAAGAATCCAGATCCCATCAATGATCCAAACACATACTCAGACGATTTCACCTTATCAGGGAGATTATAGACAGAGGAGACGTGCACATTTGCAGAGTGTCGACAGATGACAACATGGCCGATCCGTTGACGAAGCCTCTCCCTTCGTCGAAGCATGAGGGTCATGTTAGGGATATGGGCATTAGATGTTTAGCAGTTCATGATTAGAGCAAGTGGGAGATTGTTGGTTTAGTGCTCTATGATGTACTGTTTTACGAGCTTTATTTATAGATATATTTGATGTATTGACACTTTCTATGAGTTTATGGATGGGTATTTGATTCATTACGTATTGTGCATACTTGATATGTTATGAAATCCTTGTATTGTTATGAACGATACTAAACTCCCTAGTCATGTATCATTGTGGGAATAATGATATACTAAGACTAGTATGATCTATGATTGATGATCATATGGATGATCATAGGTATTGGATACGATCACAATCATAGGTATTCGTTGGAGAACGGAATACTGGATTGACCCGCATGAGATTGTCACATGGACTAGCGTCATGACTTGAATCTCATATGGCGGTTTCATGATTAGATCCTAAGACCTGAGATATATACGAAATCCAACATGAGGAGTTGCGTGCTTTGAATACGTCAAACGTCCTGCGTAACAGGAGAACTATAAAGACGTGTATCAGGTACAAAACGAATCATGTGCTGGATTGTAGATAGTAAAGACAGGATTTGTACCTCTCGTAAAAGAGAGAGATATCACTGGGCCCCTTGTGTGAGCGAGACTGTAGAAATGTGTGGTCGCACTATAGAGGAACGTCGTCTATTTCAGACAGTCAAACTCAGTTAACGAGAAAGCAGTCGAATCAGATAAGGTGGCTTGTCCATGCCTTATGTTCGACATATGATATCGCGATACAAAAGGAACATCAGCCGGAATCATCACTGGCGTTCGTAAGATCACGAATAAACTCTATTCGAGATAGATAGTCATAGTGTCTTGCTAGAGACCGCCTATGACTTGTATATCCGAAATAGAGATTTTGGGTTATACTGCTATATCGAATGAGCCTATAGGATCACACACGCAGGGAAGGACAAAACGCATGAGAAAACGACGAAAAATCGAGATGGAAGGGGCTGGAACGGACGGACTGAAAGGCTCAGACCCGACGGTCCGCCAGGTCCAGACCCGACGGTCCACAGAAGGCAGACCGCCCGTTCTGGCTTTCATGTTTTCGAAAATTAGACCAAAATTAGGGTTAAATCATCTTATAAAAAGGAAATTAAAACCCTAATTAAGCAAGAAACTTTTTGAGCCGTCTTTGACAAAACTTTGAGAGCTTTTGGTTAGATCAAAAGAGTTCAAGGAGTTCTAAGTATTGTTTTCTCGAAGCGATATACCAAATAGCAGATTCGGGTCCTAGCAGACAAGTTCCAATTGTTGGAATCCATCCCGAGGTGTGGATATGTGTAGAGGGCGAGGTAATCTTCCTGCCTTGAGTGATCGGACGAACAAATCAATTGAAACAGGCCCCAGATCGATTGAGGTAAGCGTTCTAACGTTTCTACGTAAGCATGCATGCATGGTTCTAGGGTTTTATTCAGTTCTAACGTTTCTACGTAAGCATGAATGCATGGTTCTAGGGTTTTATTCAAATTTTTGTTTTATATCCGCTGCGCAAACCCTAGAATCGATCTTTTAGGAATAGGATTCGCTCTAGAGATCCCAGGAAAACCCAACAGGTGCCACTTTTGAAGGTCTTGTGGCGAAGCCAAGGGGTCTCTGACATGACTTGGGAATCCGAGGCAGAGATGCGTAATAGTTATCCGCATCTATTTACTTGAGCGTTGTACGAACTCTTTCTTATGATGACTGGTTTGCATCAGACTTATGTTTTCTGATGACATGATGATCTGGATTGTGTTTTGGGTGATGATATCAAATATGAGAAAATCTTGGTGATATCACGACATTCTGAATTCGAGGACGAATTCTTTTTAAGGGGGGATGATTTGTAATACCCTGATTCCCGATTAAATTAATTAAATTATTTTCGGGAATAGGATGAAGGTAAAACAAGGCTAAAAACATAGAGAATATTTCAACGAAGATCTAGAAGAAAACGACACTCGATTTGACTGGAAAACGAGAAAGTTATAAGCAAACGAAAACTGAGTAGAACCTGGAAATTCGGAATCCACGAGTTATTCGAGGTATGGACGTTTCGAGTTGTACCTCATCGTGTAAGCGTGAGTTTTCAATAATCTATTGATTGGACATGAAAGAGGACGTTCCAAGGAAGGTGTAGAAACAAACAGTGCGCGATTCGGTTAAGAAACAAGTGAGAACGGAGCAATCGAAGTCAGTCGAGACGGACCAGAAACCTCAGAACGGACGGACTGACAAGGGCAGAACGGACGGACCATGAACACGCAAAGAGCTGGGCCGAAACTGGGCCCAGATTGTCCGTTCCAGGCCCAGAACGGATGGTCGACTGAACAGAACACGCAAGTGGCCAACTTGCTGTCTTGGGACGCGTATTCCACTGCGTTCCCGGGCTCCATCGGCATCAACTCGCCGACCAACCGTGCCAGGGCGATGCAGGCTCGACCATAGGCCTGGGCTTGAGCCCATTCGATCCCCCTCACGTGTGAATAACATCTCCCAAGTCGGAGACTTAGCTATTTTTGGCTGAAAACTTAGAAAAATAGAAAGAGAGAGAAAGGGGGAGAAAGGAGGAGAGCCAATGCAAGGGAAGCTCGGGGAAGCAAGGGGAGACATACCTAGCATGTCTAGGAGAGGTTTCCGATGAGCAACAGACCAGAAAACGGCAACAAATCCGGCCAAAACCAGATCTGAGCTGAAACAAAGGTGAGTGGCTTGAGTTGCTTCTGTGTAAGCTCGTTTTCATCGATGTTATTGTGTTATCTCGATGTTTTGCTACTTGTACTGGTTAGAGGGGATTTCAATGAAGATTTAGCAACAAACCACACATGATTTGGTTGAAAATTGAGTGAGATATGATTGAATGAAGACTGAAGAAAAACTGGAAAAGGGCAGAAACGAGAATCTGCCTTGCTAAATTACGAATCCTTTTTCACCGTGTTACTGAAGTATTTCAATATTACTTGGTTAGATAGAGGACACTTCAATGAACATTTAACAACAAACGGGACTGAATTTGGTTGAGAAATGAGTGAGATATGATCAAACGAAGTCAGACCAGAAAGCTGTTTCGCGAAAGGGAACAGACCCAGACCCTACGGTCTGTTTTGGCAGACCCGAAACCCAGACCCTACGGTCTGTTTTGGCAGCCCCGACGGTCTGGGTGACCCAGACCGGACGGTATGGCATCCTTAGACCGAATGGTCTGCGTTCCAGACCTCAAAAATTGTCCCGAGAGGCCCTGGGACAGCATGGAACCCCTGGACCGACCGGTCCACACCTTGGATCGACCGTTGTAGGGTACGGAACCCTTTTTCGGATGATTTTCGAATCCCGTGTGCGTGAGACGTTTGATTAAACAATGCGAGTGACTCGTTGCGTGATTATACGGGGTAGTTTGCATGGCATTAAGCGGTAGGTCGGTATGGGACCGGATGCCGTGATACGTGTGATTGTACTGAGGGATATATGCATGATGTGTGCCATGTGTGTAGCTTACTTGTGGACGCGAGTCAAGCGTGATTGTGTTTGTGGATGGTTGTGGATTCAACCATCATCTCATGGACTTGACGGGCGTTTGAGACACATTTTAGTCGTGTGTGACATGACGGCCAACGTCATGGATTTGACGGGCGTGGATGCGCACCTAGTCATGGACTTGACTAGGATTTATGGTTAAACCCTATGGTGGACTCCATACGAGTGTGATTGTGATTATTATGATTATGATATATGTTATGTGACGGTGCATGTTTATTATTGTTGCGTTATGATTGTGAATCATCGTTTTAACACCGTTCTCGCTGAGAACGGGTTTACCGGGTTACCCCGGCTACTCACTAAGCGGTTGTGCTTAGCCCTCGTGGTTTTATATTTTTCAGATCACGAGGATTACGCTTAGTGCATCAGACGACGACGACCTGAGAGAGGCAGCATCATGTACGGGATATGTACTTTAGACTATGGGACTTGTATTCCCGCATTTTGTACGATTATATTATGGTGATTCGGACATGTGTTATTTGGCGATACTGATCGCTTGTATTTTCCGCTGCTTACTCTGATTTGAATTAAAATATTTTTGGATTTCGTATTTTCGCTTCCGCGGTTTATTATTTTATATATCGTTCATGTGGCACAACCTGTATATTGTACACGGGTTACGGGTGTCACAACAACAACGACAACAACAACAACAACCGCAACAAAGACTCCTACCACAACAGGTGATACAAAAGGGAGCACAAAGAGTTCATGGAGTGTCAAGTCTCGAAGCACTGAAGACCGAATTGAAGACCGATTTCAGGGTTGATTAAAGCAGCCGAGATCAGAATAATCGATGTTGTGAGAGGGCTTTTAAAGGAGGTTGGACTCCTTGGAAAAGTGAGATTTGGCCAAGTCCCACAGTGCAGGAGAACCCGATGATAGATCCAGTAGATAAGGACATATCCACGCTCAGGTCCACAGTGAAAGAGAACTTGAGAAAAAGTCTTGTTGCGAAAGAAAGAGTTACGACAAGTCCTTTGATGGGTTTTGTCGGTACGGACGGATATTATGATCAAGATGTTGGAGTTTTTGAGTTAAAACCGAGAGATGTGACTCCATTGGAGTCAAAAAAGAGAAGACAAACTGCCCAGGAGGCATTGGTTACGGAGAAAGAACCCTCTCCTAAGGAGAAAGAGGCATCAAGTAAGGAGAAAGAGCCATCGTCTAAAGAGGTTGAACTTTCTTCTATGGACGTAGAAGCATGAAGTAAGTATTCAAACTTTGTCATTTGGTCACAGGGGACCATGTTCAACCGGTCACATGGGACCATGTAACATGGTCACACGGTAGCATGTTACATGGTCTCATGTGACCATATTTACTTGGTCACATGGTTTAATCTGAGTGTATATCTTGTTTTTTGTTCAGGAAATGTCCCCGAAGAAGATGCTGAAGAAAATGATAGGGACGATGATGCTGGTAGTGACGATGAGAACACGGAAAAAGAGGATGACGCCGATGGTGATGAGGGTGAGGCAACCGAAGAAGATTCTGAAGAGGATGACGCCGATGGTGATGACGCCGATAGCGACGAGGGTGAGGGAACCAAAGAGGATGAGACAACCGATGAATCTTCTAACAAAGAATCAGCTCCTAAACTCAATGCAGATACAGATATGTCTGTCCCCCCTTGATAACACACAATATACATGGATTTTTACATGATTCGTCTGACATATTTACTCGGTTTTATGTCATCTGAGATGCTTAAATGCGTGTTTAGCTTTGATTCTCACTCGGTTCATATATGATTGCAGGTACAAGCAATAGGAGCGAAAGAAAGGGCAAAAATCCCGAAAAGGACAAGTTTCAATGGTACACGCGATCGTGTCTACTCATGTCACACGATTGTTTGACTGATGTTAGAAAAATATTGACAGATGTCATGAATGGCTATATCCCGACACTCCTCTGTCACTGTCTTGTTAATGAAAATCATTCGAGGACATGAATGCATCACGACTCGGGTCTAAGTTGTGGGTTGAGTATCCATGTGAAAAAAAAGTACAGAAATAAAGAAAAGGGTACTCAACGACTTCAACGTCCTAGAAGTCCGGGATACAAATCTGCAAAAGGGGAACAAACAAAGAGAATCCAAAAGCCCCTTGGAGGGAAAGAAAGAACAAAAGTCAAATACCTTTGGGAAGTTTGGTAAATAGATTCGAGAAACATGCTCGACAGGTAGACAGAAATGTTTTGAGGTCTCAAGCGAAAAACTTAGATTCCATTACTACTAGAGTTGAAATGAATCGGGAGAGATCAGAATAGGGTAGGATTGATTTCATTCAGGTTGGCATAGTATCTGATTTATGATCTATTCTCTCAATTTCATTCTGATCTCAGTTGTCACTCACTTCCTCCATCTCAAATTCGATGATAATCTGCTCGAGGACGAGCAAAATGCTGTCTGGGGGAGTTTGATAACACACAATATACGTGGATTTTTACATGATTCGTCTGACATATTTACTCGGTTTTATATCATCTGAGATGCTTAAATGCGTGTTTAGCTTTGATTCTCGCTCGGTTCATATATGATTACAGGTACAAGCAATAGGAGCGAAAGAAAGGGCGAAAGTCCCGAAAAGGACAAGTTTCAATGGTATACCCGATCATGTCTACTCATGTCACACGATCGGGTCACGTCGTCAAGAAAGCAAAGATCGAATCAAGGGTTCACCCGATCTATTCCACTAAGCCACGCGATCGGGTCATTTCGCCAAGACGAGAGATGCATTGAAGGTTAATCTGATCGTGTCACCCTGCACTCACACGATCGGGTCATATCGCGAAAACTAGATAAGATCATTCAGAATCCTGCACGATCGTGTCTCAGTACTCAACACGATCGTGTCACTTACGGGATTTTTCGGGAATATTTCCAAATTTGCCCAGAAAAGAAAGAGTTAACTAGGTCAAGCCTCCAGAGATTCATTCATTCAGACTTTTACAGAAGATAGACCTAGAGCACACCAGAAAAGGGGGAGATTATCAGGATGCAAGAGATCGGAATAGAAGACGGAGATCCAGATCGGGGAGCAGGTAGCCTCTCTGACTGCATACCTGGACCAGCATCGTCATTGGATTACTATCAGATGCAGGTTCTCCAGGGTCTACAGGAGCTCCACTTCACTCCAGTCGGTCGCCAACATGTTGCACTGCCACCCGGATATCCTTATCCACATATGACCTATCCCGACCAGCCACCTCCTCTTGAAGACATGGATAATGTCGGAGATCCTCGAGAGTGACTTTTCTATCCCCTTTCTTTTCCTTTTTCTCATTTTCACTTCTTTTGTTTTTACCTTCCTACCACGTACTTGGATGTTGTTACGCTGCTACGGTTGTTTAACTTTATGTTGGATTGCGGTTATCTCTACTTGTTTCCACTTTGTTTTGGTTTTCCCTCATGTCGATTTTGAAGCTATACTGCGGAGAGATTGTTGAGTGAACGCCATCGCACATTCATAGCCCTTCCAACCTGAGTGTATCGAGACTCGCGCTTCATCTCACTACGCCTTACGCAGCTAAGTACATGTCACCTCTTGTCTCATTACCTTGCCCGATATGAGAAAACACCATGGACGGTGTCTTGTTCAAGTCTGGGGGGGTTGACCTTACTACTACCATCTACACATCCATCTACACTGATCAATTGCATTATTCGCTGCATTCGTAGGAAACAGTTGCATAACCGTTTTGAGTTGATAGCTGAGATATGATGATGCATAGGACTCGATAGAATTCGTCAGCTTTGATCACCTGTGTGAACCACCCTAGAGCTCTTCTTGGTTGAAGGATGAATTGTCGAGTTTTATCTGAAATGATAGCTCTCGTTCAAAATAGACTTGAAAGTATGTGGGATTGTTTGACTGATATTGAAAGCATATGTTTCCCTAAGAATCGTTCCCAAGACCCTTAGATTGTTTGACTGATGTTAGAAAAATATTGACAGATGTCATGAATGGCTATATCCCGACAGTCCTCTGTCACTGTCTCGTTAATGAAAATCATTCAAGAACATGAGTGCATCATTTACAGAAGATAGACCTAGAGCACACCAGAAAAGGGGGAGATTATCAGGAAGCAAGAGATCGGAGTAGAAGACGGAGATCACGAAGCCGAGAAATCGACTAAGAGTTTCTTCCTTATTCTATTTTACGATGTTTTGTTGTATTGATATGAACCCTGTAAACTCGATGTTTAGCGAGTAGTTCCGTAGTTGTGGGTTAGGGATTTGTTATATAGGGATCTTTGGTTTTTTATTCCAGACTTAATAGATTTATTTATTCTATTCAGTTTATTGAATTGTTCTCAATGCGTTTGATCTTGTTGGCCGCTTGATTAAATGATCTTAGGGTTTTAATTCACATAGACATGTGATTATAATCTGGAAATAATTCAATAAATAGAACAGGTATCACATCGGGAGATGGGTATTTGCCTAGTAATCATGATAGCGTTCATTCATGCATCTAGAGTTTTAGACTACTGAACCGGGAGATTAGCAGGATTAAACCTGGATAGTGAGATTAGACTTGGGAGAGTTAATCTCTACCTTAGAGCTTGAATTCTCTGGATTGGATAGATAAACCATTATGTTTGTATCCTTTGAAAGATCCTTGCATGTAAAGCAATCCCGAAGCCTGCAGTGCTCATCATTCATAGTTTTAAAACCGTTTTATCGTTTGCTTTGCTACACTCTCATTCCCACATTATTCTCTTTTGCATTTAGACTTAGATTTGGATTCAATTCCTTTGTCTACTTTTGTCCTTGTGTTCGACCCTAGTTACTACAATTGAACCATACACTTGCAGTTTGTTGAATCTAGGATATTATTACTTGACCAAATTTATACACCAAGATTTGCGACATCAAGTTTTTGGCGCCGTTGCCGGGGACCAATTTAGGCAACAAGATTAGATCCTGTCTAGTTTGGATCTTTTTGTTTTTCTTTTTCTTAACTGATTTCTCACGTTTTCTTTGTTTGTCTGTTGTTTTTCGTTTATGTGCAGGGTTTACTAATGCATGACCAGAAATTCTGGGACATCGGACCTAGTACCTTTTGATCCTGAACTTGAAAGAACCATCACACACCTCCGACGACAGCGAAGATAGATGGAGAACAACTGAGATTTTGCTCTTCCCGATGGTGCCGAGGGCAATGCTGACTCAACCTTTGCCCAGTACAACACGCCAAAGCACACTGAGCTTATGGACGGCATACGATTGCCAACCATTTGACATACCAGTTTTGAGCTGAACCCGTCTAATATTCAGGTGTTGAGCAATAACGCTTTCCGGGACAGACTGAACGAAGATACTAATGCACATCTAACACGCTTCAAGATGACGTGTCGCTCGATAAAGAGAGATGCCAGGGTGACGGAGGATGCTCTCCGCTTGCTTGCTTTCCCTTGGACTCTCATGGATGCTGCATTGGAATGGCTATGATTTAGCACCTGACTCCATCCATACTTGGGATCAGCTGGAAGTTCAGTTCATGTCAAAATTCTTCCGAACCCACCGCACTCAAGCAGCTCTCTTAGGTATACACTCATTTAAGCAGGATCAAAGAGAAAGTCTATATGATGTTTGGAAAAGATATAAAGGATATCAGAAGTCATGTCCTCCTCATGGGCTTGACAAGAACTACTTGATCAACACATTTCTCCAAAGGCTCCAAAACGATACCAAGACTGTGATCCGAGCTTCTTGCGATGGAAGCATTCAAAACAAGTCATTCACAGAGCTGGAACAATACATTGAGATGATGGCCCAAGAAGAAGATGCTCCGAGTGAATACTCTCGCGATACACCAAGGAAAGAAAGCGATCCCAGTCTGAAACTGGTTCTTGATCAGTTGGTAGCACTTAATGCTAAATTCGCAAACGCCAACCTGATTTCTACTACAAACACCCTGACACATCCACAAGAAGATATCGGCATGTATGCAGTCGAAGAGAGAACTGAGGATCTAAACTACGTGAACAATAACACCTATACGAACTCGTACTACCCGAGTTGAAGGAATCATCTCTCTTACAAGTCGAATAATGTCGAGAACCCCACGCCAAACAACATCAGGGCATCCCACAATCCGAATCAGAGGATTCCAACCGGATTTGCTTCTCAATCTAGGGGTCCTAATCATAACTCCAACTATAGAGCTCCGGGACAGTCTTACAATAATCCTACACCTCCAGATAATCGCGATCTTACTCAGGATACACATGCACTTATTCAACAGCTCATTCAGGCACAAGAGAAGACGACTCAGGAGTTCCGCAATCAATTCGCGAATATTGATGTCCATTTTAAGCTCGTGGATAATCAGATTGCTCAGCTAGCAGCAGACTCCCAAAAACCGTCTGGTGTCCTTCCAGGTAAACCTGAAACTAATATCCACGAACATGTCAATGCTATTACTCTGCGGAATGGTAAGCAGGTAGATATTGGACACTCTCCAATGGTTAAGCAAGGCGAAAGTTGGAAGACCACACCTTCAGATGCCCCTGAGGACACTCCTGAACCAGCCTACGTGCCTCCTCCTCCTAGGCCTCCACCGATACCATTTCCATCACGTCTGAGGAAGTACAACGAAGACAACCAATTTGCTAAGTTCGCAGAGAT